TTAGCACGTTTGGTCGATGAATGCATCAGATTTTAAGATATTTGCCAAGGCCCTGCGTTGCTCCTTCTTCGAAGCTTTCAGTCTCTTTTTGAGTTGTGTAGGTGTCCTAATAGTCTAATGCGTCTAATTAGCCCGTAGAAGACTATTTAAAACGGTTTATACTTCTGTGAGTTGGAGGCTTAGTATTTTCAAACTATAATACTCGATACTTCAGATACGACGAGCGAACTAAGTAAGAAACATGCTTACGCACTAAGAAATGAAAATATAACTACAACCAAAAACCAGCGACTGTCTTAAATGCCCAGAACCATACATACATACCTTCACGCCATTAGCCATTTACTGAAGTAAAGGAACATCTACGAAGATAGACAGCTGACTTAGACGTTTGCCCCACCATAAAAAGGATCGAGTTGACTTCCATAATCGCCTTGTTTGTTGATTGTTAGGCGTAGAAAAACTTCACAGTTATTGCATTATATGTTTGTGTATTCATCACAACAAACTGGGGGCCGATTTTCGCGGAAAATACAAAATACCAGACGTGGTCGGTCAAATGTAATTAAGAATAGCGTGCGCCGAACTGGTCTGATCACAAGAGATAAAAACAACTTGAAGCGTAAGTATGGAATACTAACAGGTAATCCATTAGCTAAAGATGGAAGCCCTTGTTGACCCACAACTAGGGCGTCTACTGCAGTAATTACTCGGTTCAAACTCGAAGTGTTACAATAGTCCGGAAAGTCAAATAATTCAAAAATAGTCATTATGCGGTCACTGTTAGGGATAAATACCCCTATTTCACCCATTTTATTTTCCAATGAAACATTTATAAATAAAGAACTACACACTTCCCACACTTGCCGTTAAGCTGTTGCCTTCTTGACCTATGACGAATAAAAATGTGAGCCCAATTGTAACTCACCTCCATGCTCCGCATACGTTCTTCGTGGTCCGGTTGAAGGAGTTTTATAGTGGAGAGCAGCCGCTTGCGCTCTGCGCTACCGCTATTTGCGGCTCCTGGATTCAACACACCGCCGAGTGACCGCAGGCGCTGTAGGTGCTGTTCGCTATTTCTCGTATTTGCGTTGACTTTTGCCAACCTGTTAGGATAAAAACCAAAAGATGCGTCTATACTGAAAAAATGTTTTCCATCATTGCCGTCATTTCCTGATCCAGTCCAAGGAAATGCAAACAACCGCTATCATACATGAAGACACTGAACTGGAACTAAGAGGACGTGACGAGTGACTCCTATGACTCCTCCACTTTGGATGACAAAATATTTCTTTTCAATCGCACATTAGAGGTACTAACCCGATAGATAAAAACTTATTTTTGACATTTACAATTTGCGATTGAAAACTAAACTAAACAAGTTTTTAACGTTTTACGTAACAATCCTGAGTCATTATTCAGTTTTTAACAAGAAACATCGGGGACCTGTAGTATATTTTCATTCTTATTCAGGTCTTTGCGGTTAGGATAATCGAAAAGCCAATTTATATAGATGAATACAGTCTGGATTTTTTTATGAAAGTGGACCTTTTTCATTATGTAATTGGCTATAATATTATAATAGCAACCGATGTAACAGCTGAGAAATAGTTTTGTATTCATGCAAACTAACAGAATGAGAACTCATTAAAATAGAGCAGACTGAAACACTTGCTGACATATGTAGGTCCAATTTTTTAGTAGAACGTCATTTTATTGCTTTTCTTATCTTAAAATATACTTGAATCTAACATAATCGTTTTTATTGCGAAAGCTGTATGCAGGACCTGTGCAAATGCCCGTTTAAATCATCATACTTAGTTCTGTTTTTTATATTATTTGACTTTACAATGTTTACCCATGTATAAACTTGTTAAATAATGAGGCAGATGTTTCAGTAAGCCGTATTTTTATGTCGGACAAAATAAATAAACGCATTGTAGACTTGAAATATACTAATGCCTTGAGACCGGCATGTGAGTACATAGTCTTCAGTGAGATGGCTATGTAGCATCCACAGTCAGCGTGCACGATCGAAACATTATAATATGAATAAACAGCAATGGCAAATATATGGCTTGCATGATCGTACCTTTTAAGTGTGGAGATTGTACCGTTTAGTTTTGAACTACGTTCCTTCAAGTCTGATAACTGATCGAGTTGTTCTTCCAGGATCCTACAGTAAGAGCGGCAACTGAATCAAATAGTATAACGAATAAACTCTTCTATTGTTATTTAGAACTCCTGAAGGCAAATAATATTTACAAAAGGGTTGAACACTTTAATACGGATTTGTTTAAATGTTTGTTAAAACAAAAAATGAAAATGAAAACCTTTAGAAAAAAGAACAATTGTTAAACGATATTTCTACGTATTGACATAGCTTTTGAAATATCTACTCGCTGAATCGTTCCATTTTGTTTTAGGACACTCTTTCCAAGTAATATCTTTTAAACCTACAAATAGAGTTAACATTTACCATTCATATGCAAATGCACTTTCATAATTGACCATTATAGTAAAATGTTTATTTGATGTCGAGTGATGCAACCTAAAGACAGACTGTCCCCTACTGGAACCTCTGCAGTTGTCTACGAGATACATTGCGACGATGGAGACCATAATTACGTTGGAGAAACAGGCTGAAAATTGCAGATCCGCGTACACGAACACAAACTAGCGGCTCGCAGAATAGATCCAAACCCACAGCTTGCAGTACACATCTGAGAGACTGGCCACGACTTCGATATTCAAGGAGCAACCATCGTAGGTCGAGGAACCTCAAAAGCCGAAAGGCTAACGCTTGAGGCATGGTATTCAGATGCCAACTCCGTCAACAGGCATGTAGATCTCGTCGCGGCCTACAGAGTCTTACGCCATTATGTGAGCAAAGGACAAAACAAGGCCAAACCAAACATAAGAATTTTAAGCGAAGAGGACCCCACAATGAACTGGCCGGAAGAGGAGGCAGGATCACCAGGACCCTCTACCGTAGGGACAAGACGTCACACTAATTGTTGTTTATGACCCCGAACGACACCCGACTTCACTGACAGCTTATTAGCGTAAACCACCATAATTGTCCCCGCCCTCCCCCCCATCCATTTTGGTTGATGTTTCTTACCCCTTGATGACTTGATGACATCTGACAGTTGATTGGCCTATGCCCACCATAATAACCCTCCTTTCGGTTGCTGCTTCTGATCTCTGAAGATGGACTCCTGTAAGAGTTCGAAAGCTTAGGACAATAAACCAACTCGTCTGGTGCTCGACGGGTCTTCTGCCTTGTCCATGCAAATATCGCGAACGCGAAAGTTTTCATTCACTGCCCAGAATGCACGGAATATTAAAAATTTCAATGTAAATTACTCGAAAAACTCTGAAAACAGTGAAGTTAAATATCGCTATCTCTTATGTATTTTTATACTAATTGTCTACTGACCTTCAACTTAACAGGTCTGTTAATTACGCCAATTTCATAGAATGAGTATTGCAGACCAGCAAAGAGAAATAATGGGTGCTAAATAACAACTGACCTAGTTTCGTGCTCTGCAGAATTCCATTCATTTTCCGCCTGTTGCCACACGGACTTACGCAGCAACGGATCATTTTCTAAATTGAAAACAGGGATAAATTTTAGTGAACGCTAATTAAAGTGCAATTCGCAATAGGGGTAATAGGTCCTCCAGAAGCATCTAATAACGCGTACAGTTTGAAATCTGCTAAAAATACTCATTATCACAGAGTCTGGTATCATAGCTAACTTCTAAGTCTGACATCTGTTACCGGAAGGGATTATTCGAAATATTTGCACTCTAATTGACTCAGTTTTGAAAAAAATAGTGGCCTCGGTGGGATTCGAACCCGACTTCAGCAGGGAGGGCTTCAACATATC